TCTCTTTCTCTCCCCCTCTCCCCTTCGCTCTCTCTCTCTCTCTTTCTCTCTCGCTCTCTCTCAGCCGCTTTCTCTCTCTTTCTCTCTCTCAGCCGCTTTCTCTCTCTTTCTCTCTCTCACCCTCTCTCTCTCTCTTTCTCCCTCTATCTCTCTCTCTAGCTCTCTTTTCCTCTCTAAATCAAGCTGAGCTTCATAATTCAGGCGATCTACGATACTAGCAATAATAGACTAGGACATTGTAGTAATGTGTGCTGATCACCTACAGTGTCATCGGCGATCATACACTGATATAACACTGATACGAGCATCACCCAATTCACACAGCATTCGCTTAACACAAGCTGTGGCAGGGCTGCGTGTCTGTTCTGGCTGACCCTATATAAAGAATTTTTCACAGGGGAGAGATAGTGATCCGCTAGGGGTCGGCTCTGATTGGCTAATTTTGTCTCTTATTTATTATATTTATTATTTTTGGCTAATTTTGTTTTATTTTAGAGTTAGGGTTAGGGTTAGGGTTAGGGTTAGGGTTAGGATTATGGTTAGGGCTAGGGTTAACTGATTTCTATAGCCACAACTTATTTCTATATTCACTATCTCTACTCTGAGACCTACTACTATATAAACTGGTATATAACATGAATCTAGGTAGCCTGCAGGCGGGTCAATGACTCGGGTCTAGGTATGATCTTGTTGCGCCATCTGCGGGGAATAGTTGGTGCAAAACCCGGAAATGGTACAAAGAGCGGGCACATAGCGCACGTGTATGATTCGTTGCCACTAACATCTGCAGCATCTCTTTCCAGCACCCCATCTCCCTGACTCCTCTCTCTTTCGTTCAATCTCTCCCCCACCCTTTCTCTGTCGCTTTTTCTCTCTCTCTCTCTCTCTCTCTCTCTCTCCCTCTTCCTATCAAACTCTCCCTTTCTCGCTCATTCACATTCTAGCCTCTTTTCCTTTTATCAATTCTTTCTCTCTCTCACTTGCGTACAATCTCTCTGTCTCTCTTTTTTTTCCGTTCGCGCGCTCTCTCGCTCTCTCTCTCTCTCTCTCTCTCTCTCTCTCTCTCTCTCTCTCTCTCTCTCTCCTTCTCCCTCTCTCCTCCCTTCTTTCTCCGCCTGCACTGCCTACGCTTTCACGCATGCGTCGGCAGCGAGCAGCGGCATGTCCTGTGAGCTAACCAGCAGACAGGCGGCCGTGTACAACACGCCGAACAGGAAGTTAAGTCGCGCCAGCTTGTCCGGCAGCGTGTCCAGCCTCCCATCCCTGTACTCCCGCTCCACGTCAAACGCCGTCGGCAGGCAGAGCAGCGGCAGGTAGAACGCTGGCGCCACCGCGCGGCCGAGCGCCGCGAAGGCGACGTACGGCGCGAACAGCAGCGCGACGAAGAGAGCGTACGAGCCGACAGGGCCGAGCAGGACGGCGAGCGTGACGATGCCGACACGCGCGTCCGTCGCCGCCCGCCGCGCGTTGCTCGCATGCACGACCGCCTCCGTGTTGGGAGCGAGCGGGATCGCGTAGACGAGCGGCAGCCACGACGCCTGAGCCGTCTGCGCAGCGAACACGAACAACGTACAGACGGGACCGAAGGCGACGAAGGCGATGACGTCACCGAGGGCGACGTACTTGAGGCCGACGCCGCCCGTGTAAAGGAACGAGCTGGAGAGTCCGCCGAAGAAGAGGAGCGCGAGTAGGCCCGTGCGCGCGCGAGACAGCCAGCAGACGACGCCGAAGCCGACACAGCCGACGACGTAGACGAGCGCTCCCAGGTTGATGACGTCGACAGGGGAGAGCATGTCGGCGCCGCCGCCGCCGCCGCCACGGACGCCGCTGCTGCTGTTGCCCTTGCTGCCGTTCCCGCTGCCGCTGCCGTTCCCGCTGTCGCCGCCGCTGCCGTTCCCGCTGTCGCCGCCGCTGCCGTTACCGCTGTCGCCGCTGTCGACGCCGTTGTCGACGCCGCTGTCGACGCCGCTGTTGTCGCTGTTGTCGCTGTTGTCGCCGATGTTGTCGCCGCCGCTGTCGCCGCTGCTGTTGCCGCTGTCGCCCCCGTTGTCGCCGCCGCTGTCGCCGCCGCGCTGGTAGTCGAAGTAAGAGTTGACTAGGTTGCCTGCCCCGTGTACTGATAGCACGGTAACGAGCGTTGCTACCAGCAACCACGCGTCGCACGCGCCCGTCGCGCGGTACGCCAGCGCCGTTCCCATGGCGACGGGAGTGAGCGACGCGCTGAATGTCCACGGGCGCAGGGCGATCCAGGATGCGGCGAGGCGCGGGTGCGACACTCGCAGCGTGTTATAGACGGCCAGGCCGAGCGGGCTCGAAGTGATCGCGACTGCTGCCGGCTGCAGCACGCCGCCAGGTGGCGCCACGTCGCCGTTCTGTTCCTTCGCGTTGTTCCCTGACATAATGTTGTTGTTGTTGTTGTTTTTGTTGTTGTTGTTGTTCTTGTTGTTGTTCTTGTTCTTGTGTGCCAGCACGCCGTCGTCGTCGTCGCTCCGTTTCGTCACGCTGCCATTTCGTGCCACGGCGTCATCGTTGCGTGTCGTTACGTCGCCGTTGCGTGCCGTTACGTCACCGCCCCGCGTCATTGCGTAGCGCCAGCCCTCGGTTCCGCTAGCAGAGCCGAGTTTGTAGCCGGTATATGCCGCTGGTGGTTCGCTCGAGGAGGAATGTTCATCTTGCGGTGCGGAGGAAGATGCGAAGCTTACTCTGCGTCTCTGCGCCATCCTGTCCGCACGACAAACGACAAACGACAACGAATAGCTGATAGCGTTAACGCCGAGGCACTGAAGCATAATAATTCATGTATTGTGTATTACATACACGCACACACGCACGCACGCACGCACGCACGCACGCACGCACGCACACACGCTCACACGCTCACACACATACATGTACGCACGCACGCACACACACATACACGCACGCACGCACGCACGCACACACGCTCACACGCTCACACACATACATGTACGCACGCACGCACACACACATACACGCACGCACGCACGCACGCACACACGCTCACACGCTCA